GTTTAACTCAAGTTGGAAGAAACATTGCATCAAATTTGGTCTGCAGTCTTACTTTCTTTCATAATGCCCAGTTTTCTATTTTGTCCTCTTGGTTTTTAGTCTTCAAAAATTCTGCAATGTTTTTTTTTTTTTTTTTTTTTATGAAGCAGAAATATTTTTTTTCTGACATGCTCCTTCACTTTTACCTCATCACAGTCTTACTGTTAAAAAGCCACATTCATTTCAAAACTTGCATTTATGTTCAAAACTGAACTTTACAGCACTTTAAATATTCCTATATCTCAGTAAAATTAGTGGCCATTAAAACAAAAAGCGTTAGTTTAGTTCAGACTTGAGTATAAAGCTTCTTTTGCACATTTATAAATTAACTCTGTTACCATCCACTGCATCCAACTGTATCTTCCTTTCATTTATCCTTCAGAACACCCATTTATCCAGAGTGATATGAGAACATTAAGAGTCATTTTCTAATGTATGGAAGAAAAGGCTGTTGGCAATGCTGACTCCCTCAGCAATGCTCATCAGAATGTAAAGTCTACGTTAATACAGATCTATCATGCAGTACATTTTATAATGCCACTGATGTACTGTCTGTGACTATGAGAGTGGAGAAAATGTCCATATCAGTCTATTGGATGTATGCTGTTTCTTTTTTAAAGGACATATTTGCAAATCAAAGAGCAGAAGTTTGAGTCCAATTTTAAGTAGCTGAGAGGCAATACTTTATGAGTAAGACATTACAGTCACATACAATTATGCTGTTACTGAAATAACTCAGAATACTCCGAACAATAACTTAGTCTGCTAACTGAGTTCGTCAAAGGATTTCATGATTCCAGGGTTGTATCTCTGTTGTCTTGGTTACAGTATACACAGTACCGTCCATATTTATTGGCACACCCACTCAGAACATGGAGAAAGCTTTTTTCTTTTTTTTTTTCAGCTTTTGGAGAAACAAAATCAAATACAAAAACTCCTGAAGTTCTTGAACTGTGATTTTTGGAGCACGATTGTCCTCACTGTTGGCATGGTGACAAATTAACTTCCTTGTCCAGCCTGGTTTGCCAGAGGTTCTTTTGCATTTAAAAACACAGATCTTAGCTTACTGAACTCCAATCATCTAAATCAGGTGCGTTAAAGTAGGACACATCGGCTCTCTGCATTATCCATGGTGTTGTGCATCACTGCTGCTGTCCGCCTTCTCTGCTGCTTTTCAGTGCCTACACCACCCCAAAATCCACCCATACGCTCTGAGGTCAGATACAGTCTCTTGATTCTCTTGATGTCCAAGGGTTAGGATACTCATTGTGTTGTGACCGTGTTTCCCAGTCCTGGTTCTCAAGGTACACTGCCCTGCATGTTTTAGACAATAAATTAAATGGGGGGTTTCCAAATTAGTGAGGAATCTTTGTTCTGTGGAGTTTGTGGGAAATCACTTTATTGCTGTGACTATTTGTACTTCTGTCTTCGGTAAAGGTCATGCTCGTTTGTCTTTTCCATTTCAAAGA